ACCCATAACCTGAAAATAATTTAAAACAAAAAATATTTTAAATAATTTTCTGCATGAAACAAAATGGGTGGACCGGTAATCCTAATCAGTGAAGACCTATTGTATCAATGGGACGTACATAAATGTTGGCTCACTATCCAAGAACTAATTTAATAGGGCTACTCTAATTGGAATTACCAATCTACTACTCTGATGCTGTTCAGGCAATAATCATAGTTCTCAATCATATCAACCAAAGATATTGAAGCTTATCAAGGAAGTTAGAATGGCCACTCACATTATACAAAATAAATACCAGGGGAAAATTCTTGCTATTTGATGTTCAGTATTGTCATTACAATTTTGACCATATTACTCTAACTCTATTCACAGTCGGAAAAGGGACTAGAAGATATTGGTATAGCATGCATGGCTGACCACACCGAATGTTCGAAAGAAAGTTGTATGGATTTGAAAAACTTTACCATAAGAGTATTTTTTGTTAAAAAGACCTAAATCAAATTCAAGGACTTTAACAAGGAAAGTATCCATGAATTATAGAGTTCATTACCACAAATATGGTGACAGCTCCACACTGGACTGTCAACGAGTAAAGAAATCTATGGGCCAAAAGCAGTAACTACTGACAAAGGTATATCAGGTCTCAGAAGCAGTACATGCCTTGCTGGGAATGCAAGACAAAGGATGCATTCATGTTCTTTTGGCAGACCTCCCAGAGGTAACTAGTTGGCCACTGTGAACAGAATGCTGGTTTACAGCAGATTCTTCTTATGCATAGGCATAATGAAAAAGATGATTTGCCACTAATGAACCAACTTGCAGTTTGGATTTTGTTTCTCAGACATACCTGATTTGTGTTTGTCATCGGGTTAGATACAGGAGCAGCCTTAACTAAAGAAGTTATACAAATCCCAAATTATACAAATTTGTATAACTAAAGCAGTTATACAAATTGCAAATAAATACTGCAACAAAGTATTGTTGAAAGCTTTCATGGCCGGAATCACTGGGTTGTTGTAGGTTTTTCGGTCTGTATGGCCATATTCTAGAAGCATTCTCTCCTGACGTTTTGCCTGCATCTATGGCAGGCATCCTCAGAGGTTGTGAGGTCTGTTGGAAATCTAATCACCTCTCAACAAAGAATTCCCCCAGGCAGTAATAGGGCACACCTAAAAACTGTCAAGCTATCAAATGCTAATCATGGTGGCCAACTGAAACATTCACACCTACCTCCAACAGAAAAGAGTTCTTTCTCCCACCCTGGATTTTCCACAGATATATAAACCCAATTTTCCTAGTTTCCAACAGAGCTCACAACCTCTGAGGTTACCTGCCATAGATGCAGGCAAAACGTCAGGAGAGTATGCTTCTAGAACATGCCCATACAGAACGAAAAACCCACAACCCACTGCAACAAAGGCTCAGATCCCACTCCTTTCTCATAAAACATACTTTTCCACATTTCAAACACATTCTGCATTTGAAATGGAAAGATAGAATTAAACATTAGTTGGCTATATTCATCCTAAAGCTTTTGACTGCTAAAGAATGAATAATTCAGGCCACGTGAATGGTGTATCTAGTGATGTAGACATGTTCTATGATGCATGCTAGGTGTTTTGTGATGAGACTCCACAAGTAAGGAGGTTTTGTAGAACTTTGTAGTAGGAATCTAACACAATTCTCCTGACAGAACCGCTTCTCTCTTTAGAACCAGTGGAGATAAACTCTCCTTCCTTCCTGGCAGGCCATATGTCCTCCTGGAGCAGTGCTTCTCAACTTGAGGTTCCCAGATGTTTTGGCCTTCAACTCCCAGAAATCCTAACAGCTGGTAAACTGGCTGGGATTTCTGGGAGTTGTAGGCCAAAACACCCAGGGACCCACAGATTGAGAACTACTGTCCTGGAGTGACCTAGGAAAACTTTTGGAACAGGTTTTCAAGTGCTGAAGAGTGCTACAAGGGAAGAGAAGACTCCACAATGCTAACGTTTATCTGCTAGCAGTGTTGGATTTAGGTTTTGATGTTAGGATACATCTTGAGGGATTTTCTAGGTCCTCCAGGGTGACGCTGGTAACCTCAAGCTCATTACAATAAGGTTTGCTATTATCCACCATTTCATGTTTCCATAGTAAGTTCAGGAACATGTCATCTGTGGATACTGGAGTTGTATAGTTTATATAGTGCTGGGATTTCATGATTGGAATCATTTCTGTAGCCTTGTTGAAACAAATTGCCTCTAAAACATTTATCTTTTGCTTTGTTTGTATTCAAATGTTTAATTCTTGAAATAGCATATATCAATAGATCTAAATATACATGTTTATGAAACAACTGCAAAAATACAAAGGTTTCAAAGATGCTAACAATCGTCATCTATAGATTTGTTTTCCTATATCTACTAGAAGGAGAAATCATGATCAAATTTAAAGGTCTCAAATACTATGCCTGAGGTGGGAAGCCATGAGGATGTATCCCATCTGAACCAAGGTTCTCCAAAGAAAGCATAACAGAATATTATTGCCTGGCTATGAATAGCAGTAGTATTGAGAAATCAATCCTAACTCGCATTGAATAATGTTGTAGTACAGCCTGATTAAGGGAACTCATGCAAATGCACCCAGCTGCATCAGATTGACTTCATTATAATATAAAGAACTTAAAATCGCTGTGGTATATCTATATGGCTGGTATTATCTCCAAGTATTAATCTAAAATGTGGTATTTTAAAATCCAGAAATAGCTTTAACTGAAAATGTTCAATTTCATGTTTTAATTTGTGAACACTGAAATTTGAACTTGCTGTCATAATGTAGATTCAAGTTCTATAATGTCTTATGAACAATTACGAAGGTGCTGTTTCAACAATATTATTTGCTGGAATGTTTGTGCATTTGGGTGATGTGTTACCATTTAAGTCTCACAAAATAGTTTTAAAAACAAAGACCGGTCTGTGTTGGGAGTAATTCACAACCACATGTACTGTGAAATTTTTTCTTCTCAATTCTTTTCAGGTGTGGATTTAATATGGTAGCTCACGTTACAACGTTTAACTTTTTTATCCTCACTTTTTTATCTTTATCTTGTTTAACTCATTGTAAGCTGCCTTGGTCCCCAAACTGGGAGTGTTTCTCAACTGAAACAATGGGATGAAGTACGTTTAACACAACACAGTGTACATTTACAATATTTATGATTATATATGTTCAGTTTTCATGCATGTAACTGCATTTTATGAGTTTCTCAAAGGCCTGGGAGCATAACAGATTCTGCAAATTACTAGTACTCTACTTTTAGACACTTGACAATTATGTATCCTCCAAGCTGATTTAACTAAACTTCATATTTCACATTAATCAGCTCAAACCCTGTATTCATGTTTTAGTTATTTTTTAAAAAAAGAATTACAAATCTATCACAAAAACATAATGATACTGAGGATAAACTATGTATGATTTGGTTTTCTATTTGTTACAATAAATGATTTTGGGACAGAGAACCTGTACTGAAATGGTTTTCACATACTGTGTTTCCCCTAAAATAAGACATACTCATAAAATAAGCCTCAAGACAATTGTTGTACCATACTTAATGAAAATAAGCCATAGTGTGTCTTCTTGAGGAAAAATAAATATAAGACAGTGTCTTATTTTAGGGGAAACACTGTACTTATCCACGAGTAACAATATATCTTCAGGCTCTAATAACGGATGTTTGTGTGTGTGTTGACCAGCACCTCAAATAATCAAAATATATCAACTGATATGCAGTCAACCATATATGACTATAGATCTATAAGATGCCTTAGACATGAGAGTCAATGTGATGTAGTAGAAGGCATATTGGGAGTGTTGGTCTTTGAAAGTTTGGATTCAAGCTACTGAAGCTGTAAGTCACTCTCACAGCCTGCCAAAAGTGGTTATTGTAAGGCTAAAATGGGACTGCCCTAGATGTGTCACACAGGCTTCTGAATTGAGCAGGAAACAATAAAACAGTCAGGCTATTTAAAGGGTTTGTTTAGCTACTGACCTTTTTTACATGGCACTCCATTTTTTCCTTTCCACACGGAGAAATCAAGCTCAAATCCTGTGGGTACAACACGGAGAAGGAAGAATTTTTGGAATATTTTTGGCAACTGGAAAAGTTACTCAACTTTATGTATAGATGGTCAAAGCAGAGGAGACTGAGGAAGAAGTGCCCTACACCCAGAAATTGAATGTTATATTTATCATGGAAGTAGGTCACATATAGAACCACACACTTTTCCTAGCTTTATTTCTGGTATTTCTATAATAAGTGATATAGGGATCTGATGAAGCCTTGTCCCAACAAACAAAGCATTTGTCTCCCTACAGCAGGGGTGTCAAACTCATTTCCAGTGAGGGGCACATCAAGTCTTATAGTTGTCTTTCAAAGGGCTATTTAGTCCATTAACACAGAATCTGTGGATACAGAGAATGGGTCAAATTAAATATTACTGGTCTGAATTCAAACTTAATCATGCTTAGGGCAAACCCATTGAAATCTATGGAATGAATAATAATTAATTTTGTTGTTTATTCATTCAGTCGCTTTCGACTTTTCGGGACCTCATGGAGCAGCCCATGCTAGAGCTCCCTGTCAGCTGTCGTCACCCCCAGCTCCTTTAAGGTCAAGCCAGACACTTCAAGGATAGCATCCACCCATCTTGCCCTTAATTTACATTCTAGTTAATTAATTTACATTCTATTTATTTCAACTGATCTATTCAAAACATGATTACCTTTGGAACTAATTCACTGTATATAAGAAAGGTGGATACATTCTCAAGTCCCTTTAGGAGAGGGGGCAGGATATAAATAAAGCTTATTTTTATTACTACTACTACTATTATTATTATTATCTGTGAATTAGTATTACACTTTGCCTGTTGTTTCCTCATAATGATAAAAATCAAAGCCAGACCATTTTGTATTGTACACAAAATGCAAAATAAATACTTCACATTACAGACATTTCAATGTTTTCTTTTAACATTTTTATTTAGAGAGATATATTCTTGGTAAGGAGATATACCATGAGGAAATCAATTTCACTGGCTGTGAGGTAATGTATATTCTCCACCAAAATACTCCTCACATCTCAACGGCTTTTATAACTTTATTTACACGCAAAACAATATCAATGCATTTCCTTGGCATAACTACAGTATTAGTCACCCTACATGAATAAAATGAAACATTACTTGCATTACAGAACCAGTTTCCAAAGAGGAGTTTGCTTCGTTGTTGAAAAGTGACATTTTGTTAACAGCCAAAATATTTTGTGACCAAGACATCTGCACCATATTTTTCCATCCTCACAGCACATTTATTTCAATAATTCTGTAAATAGATCCTTAGCATGAGCATAGTGTTACAGTTTCCATACATATAATTACATCCAAAACAAGTTCTAAAAGTCAATTTGTAAACATTCGCTTCATTTGTAGAAACTTTTCTATTTGTGTCAAATGTTGTGATTTTTTTAAAAAAACAAAACAACTGAAATATGACAAATGCAAGCTACGCCACATAGTGAGCAACGCTTAGTACATTTCTACAGTATTAAATAAAAACAGGAGGCCCAAATGTCTTATAAGCAACTCATACCTCTAAGTAAAGCATAAAAAGACAGATTGTTAACAAAGGGGTGTTTTACAATAAAGAGAATTGTGAACAAGTGATGCAACAAATTGAAAGGGTAAATACCATTACTGCTGACAAAAGTTGGGAGGTAGCATGGACGCACCATTTTATTGTCAGTGAGAAATGCAAGTGAAGTAAAGAATATTTCCTTACCACAAATAGTTTCCAGTACTATGTACATAGTTTGTAGAAATCTGTTTAACAAGTTTCCCTCCACTTTTAGTACAAAAGAGTCTTGTGTGATTAAAAAACACTTACACAGCTAGATAGTACTAATTGCCCTATTTGAATGGAACAGTCTCTTGAACAATGAAGTACATGATATTTAATGCCCTAATTGAGTAAATTTCATTAGCATTTCTTTGTATTGTACAAAACACTACATACATACAAACAAAATAGAATATATTTTACTAAGCAAGGGTTTGTTTAATAAACAGAGCATTGATTCTGGTAACACTGTAAAGATTTCAAAAAACCTGTCTGAAGTACCCATGTGCAACAATTTAAAAACAGCTGCTGACATGTGATGGGCTTGTATCAATCTTGAATACAGTAATTGACAAAAAAGCCATAGTAAACTTTAAAAACACGTCTTCCACCCTATATAAAATATAAAGACTACTTACGGTAACTGCTTTAAGTACTCAATTGTTTGAATGTTAACTGTCATTCTTCTCCCCATTTTCTGGCTTTAGATTTTATAAAGAGATAATTTATTTTGACTTAAAAAAAACTAACAAAATTATTCCAAATGTACATCCAATGCAATGTGAAATGTTTCCGTATTCTATGAGGCGGCCTCAGCCATCAGGAAAGAAAATGAAGTTTCAGAAATCGAGGCAGGTTTTTTAAGCAGTGATGTCACTTCCACCATGCCAGCCCCAGTCCGAGGAAGATTTGCGTTGACAATATGGCGCTGTAGGTGCTTTATCCAGTCCTCTTGAACAGACAGGGGACCTCGGAATACCAGGCCACAAAACCTGTGTTGTTTTTAAAACCAAACAGACAAGGTACATTAGCATTATGAAACTTTAAGCAAAGTATTGTGAGTCCCAAGGTTAACTACAGAATCTTGATTGGTGATAGACTTCACTGACGTTAATCCAGTGATGTTTTACTACAATTTCTAATAACTCTGCACAAATAAAACAAAATGCTTCAATTTTAACCATCATATATATATTTATTTGACTACAATGTGCCATCAAATGTAAAGTACAACTCAATTTTGCACATTACAACAAAAGGTATGCTGCCAAATGTAATGTGGGAGCCAATGTCCATGAAAAGGTTGGTGGGACACTGATCTGGAGGGAAGCTGTGGAAAAGCTGATGGGAAGACTTTCCCTCTTTTTGTGGCCACTGCCAGCTTCCCAAAAGGCCTAATGGAGGGGTGCTGCTTCTCACCAGCCTTTCTGTGGCCACCATGGGCTTCCTACCAGTCTTTTTCCACTGCCACTGCCACCACTCCCTCCTCCATCCCCATCCAGGATTTCTTTCCCAACGGCACAGGCAAATGGGAAGTTTCGTTTCACAACCTTGTGTATCTTTATGAGCTCCCTGCAAATAACTTGCTCCTATTTTTATCTCATTAAGAGTTTTAACATTTTATCCTGTACATGTGGCCCGCCCATTGTTTAGTGAGACTGTGTTTTTTGTTTATTGTAATGTTACTTTTTCATGTAATTATGATGATGTTGCTTGTTGTTTATGTTAATAATAATAAAGATTATTATTATTATTATTGAAGTGTGCAATTCTAATAAGCCACCAAGTCTAATGCGTACCTCCATTTTGGTGATGTAATTTAGCCAAAAAAAAGTTTGCATTAAATTTGAGTAAATGCATTACTATTTTAATGGGTCATTAACAGTGATAGTTAAAAAGGTTTCTTTCCTAAAACATTTATCCTTGCATATAATCAAAGCAGGGTAGCCAAGATGAGATGGACACACAGTGGGTTTGTTTTCTTTCAAACTGGGGTTAGTCTACATTTACAATGAAGTGCTTGGATGTGTCTTTCCTCATCTAAGAAATTAAATAATGAGGAAACAAGTCTATACCACAATCATAAGAACATGGTACCTCCCTGATCATCTAATCCAGCTCCCTCCTCCCTTCTTGAGGCAGTCTAACAGGGTAATACATGCACCCAGTAAGAAAGGGGCACAGGAGACTCCTAAAATATGGACCTACTTATATACTCATGTGTATCTAGAAATTTTCATTAAAAAAATCAATACCCTCCCCAAAAACTGGATCACCCTATCCATGGATCAACATGAGTAGTGTACCATCCCCTTCTCGGAGGATTGAAAGACAAGAGATTAGTTTACCCCAGGAAAACTTAAAGAAGCACCAACTCCCCTCTCTTTGTTATGGCTTTGTTTCTAGCCTTTTGAATGCTCAGATGGATAAATGGTGGCAGCGGCCAGGGGTGGTAAGCACCCTGAAATGGCACCGGTGCTTTCCCCTCTCTACAGAATTACCATTGACTTATCTACTGATCATATCGAAATCTGTAATTTTGCCCCCAAAACCTGTCTTCAATTCAAACATGAGGATGTAACTTATAAACAGGGACATAACTAATGAACAGGACTTCTGAGTTCCATCTAGAAAATACACAATAAGCATTTATCTATCATTTATTGGCAGCATATTACCAAGCTCCTCAGTCAAAAAGTGTTCCAGAACAGTTTATGTATAATCAATAAAAAGATATAAACTTAGCAATCATTATCTAAAAGACTAAAAGCAATTACTAATGCAAAATGCTGCACTTCCTTTCCTATATTGAGGAGGGGAGGATTTACAAGCTATCCAATATTATCTGGGTTTCAGCTCAAAGAATTCAGAATGGTCTTTCTGAAGCCTTTCTCCCTCAAAAAGTAGAAAAAACTGAAAGTGGAGGGAGAGGAGAATGGCTTTTGAAATAATTTCTATCAAAAATATTAATGTAGTGTTTGAGAAAATGTTTGCTCTTTCAAAATTATTTCTAAAATCTATATAATAGGCAGATTTTTGTGTGAAATAATTATGTATGATTATAATCATACAGCATCTAATCACTGCAATTTCTGTTCTTGCTATCCTTTCCTCTGTTCTCTTATGGTACTTAATGATTTATGACACTATGAGAGAGTAAAGAACAAAATTCTCTATTTTATTAATGACAGTGGTTTCTTCTGTTTTTACTATTTTTAATCTGCTCCTAACAAAGTTGCCAAACCACTGAGGTTCTTTACTGTTCAGAATCTTGGAATTCAGTCTGTAATTATTGTTTGATTAAACTGTACTTTTAATATACCAGATATTTTTTTATGCTAAACACATGATATATTTGCATCATGTTAGGCATATGTTCCTATAGTCAGAAAGTGATTTTTAATCTGGAAAGGACACTAATACATTGTTTTTTAGTATAATTTTTATTCAAGAAAACGAAATTCCAAATGTAGTATCATCAAGAAAGTACATTGTAGTTTGGAGTTTGATTAATGTATTAATAAGGCCAACAAGTAAAATCAACAAAGATACATCATTATATATACTTAATAACATAAAATAATGATAGATGTAATAATAAAGAAGCACCTAGTTTAGTTTAAATTTTCCCCCGTCTAAAGTATACTGCACTTATAGTTCTAATACAATTTTTCTAATTACTTGAATATGTTTAGCTTCCCCCACTCCCCATCCCTTTCCCTTTTCTTTGTACCACCTTCATCTGGACCAACCTATCTTATTCTTTATCTCCAGAATGTCATTGTTTTTGTTGCAGGTTTGTCCCCCTGCTCTTCTATAAAAACAAATTCTATAAATTTTCCCCAGATTTTCCAAAAGTCTGTTTGTTTCCGTATTCCCCTTTTAACTTTAATGTCGCAAGTCAGTCAGTCATTAATCACTATGTTCCAAACTTCTCTATACCATTCTTCCAATTGAATTTTGCTTTTATCTTTCCATTTTTATTTTTTATTTTTTGCAATTATCAGTCTCACTGCCATTAATAGGTTGGAAATTAATTCCTTCATTTCCTGTCAGGATATACCATCATCATACAATGCTAATAGTGCTATTTACGGTGTACCTTTTATCTCTATTTTTATTATTGCTCTTATTTCCTTAAATACTATTTTCCATAATTTTTGTATAAATTTACATGACCACCATATATGGATATATGAGCCTAATTATTGGCATCCTCTCCAACATTGATTTGAACATTTCTCCTCTATCTGATTTAATCTAACTGGGTAAAGTACCATCTCCATATTATCTAATAATTTTCTTTAATTCTTAGAGATATATTTTTAAAGATGAGCATGCTCTACATTTTTTCCATTTTTGATTATTCAACTGAACCAGAAGTTTCCAGGTTTTTTTTCTTCCAAAAATGCCCCCTTGTTTAATTTTCATAATTTTTACATTTCTACATATATTATCTGAAACTTGCTGAAAAATAAAACATTACTTAGGAGGGCTTTTAACTGTCAAGTTTCCATAATGAAGAAGACAAACATATCAAACTGAAATCATGTTCAGGTTAAAACTGCTGCCTAAATCCAATTGCTAGTACAAGTAGAGTAAACCGATGACATGAAATTTACAGCAGTGCTGATTTACTTTTAGCAATTTGTTCAGTGATTTTCCTCTATTGGATTAACAATTGGATCAAGTCTTTTAATGCTAAACACAGACCTCAGTTCTGCTTATTACTCTTATTTTTCTCAAGCATACTGACAATAATATGGATGCAACCAAACAAATATAACTTCAGTAGTTGTTTCCCATTTCCCATTATAAACCCACATATACCTGCACCGGAGAATGTAAACTTCATCAGCACCATGAGGTAATGGCAGCATTTTTTTCTTGCTTCCAGATCTTGATCTTGATTTTTTTTGTTTACAATCTACGGCTATTGGGGAAAAAAAGAGGTCACATATATGTAAATCTAGAAATTGTTATGGAATATTTTCTTTCTCTCTGAAATATGCTAAAAATAATCTTTCTCACCTTTTTGTAAGTTAAAGCTACAAAACTTGAAAATGTGAAATATGATTCCCCCCCCCCCTTAAAACTAAAGTATGGGAACCATATTCATGCATAAATAAATGTAACATGCTTGATGAGTTTGTTCCAAGCTTCATTATACAACAGGTATTTCTTTATGATCAAACCATATATTCTTAGTATGCCAGTTTTCATAACTGCTCAAGCAGCATGCTTTGCTTGTGGATTATATAAATTCAGAGGCTTTTCATTGTAATTAAAATATCAAGGTCTGTTTCCATCATGCAGCCATAACTAAAAAAGGATCAGTGATTAAATGTAAAGTATGTTTTGACAAACTTCACAACTACAACTTTTATAATATATATTACTTTGAAGTGTTTTCTGTATGCTAAAGGAGTCTCATGATATTGGGTACATTTCTGTTAAATTCATGTAATGACTATCAAATCATTAGTTAGCGCAGAATACTTCTTAATCACATGTAGAAGATCACTTAATTGAATGTAGTTAAATCAGATATGCATGAGGTAACCATAGAACGACTTATATTAGCTGACAGGTTATTTTCATTTAGGATAATGGGGGAAATGAACTGTTTTGAGATACAAAAGAAAATAATGAAAAGAAAAATTCTGTATCACCAAGGATGTATTATTTAGCCTTCAATGCATCGAAAGACTAGGGAAACTCTTTCTACCTCCTTCATATCTTTCTCTCACACCCATGTGTGCGCATACATACACACATGAACATACATAGAGTAACAGCACTACAGAAGAAAAGGAAATAAAGCAAGAATTTTACTAGCTGAACTTCCATTTCAAAGCGGGAAAATTTCAAAAACTACATGAAGTAGAATACTCTCAAAATAACTGGTTTTGTCTCCCATGGAACTAAAGAAATGGGAAAGAATTGAGGTGGAACAGCCTGCCACCTTAATTCCTGCACCAAGGTCAATGTTCAGAGTCCCATACTTCAATCAAGATAAATCTTCATAATAAGAACTCCTCTGTACCTTAAAACTTTAAGCAGTACAACATTTAGAGAAACAGAAATCCATAGGTTCAGGGTGTTGCTCGATGGGATGATAATGTGTTTCCTATCATCATGCAAATGACAGGAAAAAATAAAAAAATAGAAAAACAGAAATTTACTGGGTTATGTACACTCAAAACACTAGGTATCATTGCATAAATTACCTTGAGACATGTTAATTGTTTTGATACAGGGGTAGACACTATCCACACAAATAGTATTTTCGGGTTACTTTCTGAAGGACAGACATGGACAGAAGTTAAAGGATGCACAAATCCAGACTAGACCTGCATCCATGTATGTCTTTTGAGAAAGAAGCACCAAAATGAAGCTAAAGAAGTATTTAAGCCCGCTTCCAGCTGAACAACATATTCAACAATAGAGAATAATCTGTCTAATGTGAACAAACTGATGTATTCTCATCCTTTCTTTGATTTTTCAAGGTAAACCAAGCCTTCAAAACAAAATTTCTACCCCTTTTCCAATTCATATCAAAGAAGTAACTTCTGCTATAGACAAATGCTTTACGGATTTGAAATTACACCTTCTAACTGTTTCAATGCTAGATCCTCTTCCACACAATACTGAGAGCTTTAATACTTCTGGGGATCTGATGCGCCGTAGCAAATTACCCTTACCAATGACTGCACTGTCTTCCTTTTATAGCTGAGGAAAAAGATAGCCTAACGATCCTTGGTATTTGACCTTTGCAACTCAAAAGACAAAATATTAGAATCTTATTAAAAAACATACAATTCCACATGATACTACCAGGTATTATTATGTTAATTTCATAGGATGCATCTGATAATCACAAACACCAGCTGACTATAAAGGAGACTCTGCTGAACTAGGGATATAAAACCAAATATGGATAAATAACTATAAAGTGCAACACAAATTGCAAATACTGGGGTACTTTATCACTACCAATCTGATGAGGCAGAAATTCAGGTCAATATTGCTATGCCACATTTTAAGGGAGACAAAAAAAGATATCATGATAAGAAAATTACTATATTATGGAAGAGTAAATATAAATATTTGCAAAAAAGTAAGATTATCACTGTATAAAACTAAACATCTAACCTCTATTTCTGAAGCTTATGCAGCTTTGTTAGAAGACATAAAGCAAGAGAATATACAGACAGTCCCAAGTTACAAAACTCCAACTTACAATTGATTCATAGCTAAAAATGGAGGTGAGATAACAGGAAGTGAGAGAAATGTACCCCTCGGAAGGGAAATAAACTCCTGAAAGAGTTACCAATGGAAAAGAGTATTCGTTGAACCTTTTTCACCAATCCTTGTTTCCACAACAAGCCACATTTTTCAAAATCCAATTATCACAGGGACAGAAAGTGAGGTGAAGTCTTCTGAACAGGGGCGCAGACAGCAAAAGAAATACCACAAGGCTGTTAATCCTTCCCTATACTATCCAAAGCTAATATATAAAAATACTGGTCTGGAGTTACACTTTAAAATGGACCTGTTCTGGCTTACAAACAAATTCAACTGAAGAACAAACCTACAGAACCTGTCTTGTTCACAATTTGATGACTGACTGTATACAGCTTCATGAAATACTAGGACAAGCTTCTTTTTCTGTGCTTAAACATTTATACAGAGATGTTTACTACAATAACTGATATTTCTATTGAATCCCTACTGAAAATAACATTAATTGATAAAATCAAGTGCCCACTATTGGTCAGTGCTGTGTGTTTGGTATTTGTGGTGCCACTGATTTAGTGCACTGCTGCACAATGCTGTCACTCACAAATAGGAGGTCTGGGTTATATCCTCTATGCCATCCCCCACTCTTGTAGGATGGTGGAAGCTTACTATCATGAATAAGTGATAGTTTGTGCAGTTCCGCCCAGGAGAGGACAGCTTCTCCATTTTTATCCTACTGACCAAAGCTATAGCTATGGCTGTGGCTGTTAAAGTACAAAACACTTCATTTGGGGGCTTGTACATAAAGATAATTGTGATGTTATTAAGCTCTAGTGTTACAACCTCTATATTGTTTTCTTCAGTGTTATGGGCACTGATAACTTGAAGACCTAGTTTTACAAAGACAGCACTTCCATACTATAATGCCAAGTTTTTAACCTTTGTTTTCTCTCAAATGCATCTCAACTGTACCTGTGGATCACCCCTGATATGACAAATAAATAAATCAACTGTTACTGCATTTATTTTTAATTTGGAAAGTAGACAGGTATGTGAGCTTACAATGAACTTTCACAAAATTATTATTTGTTCATAAGCTGACCTCATGTAAAATTTAAGGGGAGTTTTTGGGGCCAAAATGATGGATTTTGATATAATCTATGGATAAACAAAGTGTCATTCCACATAGCGAGGAAAGAAGTAGTAACCTGGCACTGCTGTCATTTTTCCACCTAGGCATTTCAAAAGGCCTTTTGCCACTCTACTCGTGGTTTTTTTAAAAAAAAGATTTATACTTACACTGGTTCCCAGATACATCAATCCAGATTGTTTGGGGTTAGTTTTTTCACTAAAATTTCTAGACTTATACACGGATATTTACAGCAATAAACATTTACAGTACCAGCCAAGATTCAGAAAGCTTGCTGAATTTTGATAATCATTATAAGATAAATAATCTGCCTATTTATGATTGTAACTGTTTACATTATTTATTAAAAATAAAACATTCATTTACTAAATGTCTAATTGTCTAATTATCACTTGTAAGTCCATTTCAGTGCCGTAAGTATAGGGAAGGGTCATGTAACCCAACAGTTATCTACTTGCCCAAGAGAAGTTGCTCCAGCAATGGGGCTACACAATACAAGAGGGATGGATTTCCCATAGTCACCGTGCAAATGGAGTATGCACTTTTTTGTATGTCATCATTCAGACTTGCAGAGAATTGGGATTTAAATATTTTTAAACTAGCTTTTCTCTTGTAAAATAAAAAACCCACCTACACAATCACAGCTAATAGGGGGGAGGGTATTCATTAAAATAAAGAGAGGCAATAACTGGAAAAACCACTGCCATTTCTTAAGTACTACCAAATGTAAGCATGTCCAAAGTACGATTAGTAAACTATTTGCAGATTTTCCATTACAACAATGAATGATAAAAAAGCAGATGAAAATGATAAGATAATATGTTTGCTTAGGACAAGTTAGAACCTGATAGGATCTCACGAAGCACAGTAAAGCCAAGATATCTGGCCCAATCAGGCACTTTGGGATAACAAAGTGCACTGAGAAAACATATTTTTGAATTGCTGACTCTTAATGCCATTATTCAATTTGATGACAAATTAAAATTGAACATACAGTCAGAAAACAAGCAGAGTGCATGTCCACAATATAATATGAAATCCTCCTATTATCATAAGTAACTACATAGGTAAATGCATATTTATTGTTTTAGAAGAACACATTGACAGAAAACATGTAGAATACATGTTTAATATGAGTATAGTATGAATTTCTATAACATAACATATAGATTAAATAAATATGGAAGTGATTATGCAAAGTACGTATTTTCTTTTAAAAAGTTATTTAAGAAGCCATCATTGATACAGCACCAATGCATATCCATTTATATCTGTTTGATAATCAGACTTCTGTGAGACATAAACATAGTCATGGTCATGTATCCATTTTATGAAAAAACTGCCACTGGAAACCTAGACAGTTCTGTTTATAACTCTGTGAAGAATACATAATCATCATTAAATATTATGTCTGTACTGGGCTGTTTGAAAGCAAGCAGTATAGTAGGACCATAACCTTCTTGGAAACAGATTATACTTTACTCCACTGATTTTGCACTATCAACTGTTCCTATAATGCAAATATATTGCAAACATTTCGAATAGCACCATAACAATGTCAGGGATATATGTTGGGATACTGTCGGTGATGCAGCTGTGACATCTGGAACCTCATACAATGCTGCCCCAGGCTAAATTTCTGCTCTTCCAGGAAAAATGGGTCATATCACACCTGGTAGGCATGGGCTGCATGCCTGACAGTGTCCTCACCCAAACAAAGAGGCCAGATATGTTAATATGACATCCAAAGGATACTGCTTGGAGGTGTGTGTATGATTTGGAGCTGCTTAATCTCCAATCCGGGGTGCTCAACACACAAAGTATATTTATTTCTGTGTGCATTGGGTATTACTTAAATAGTAGAGTCCTCCATGAAGATAAAATCACTTGAAATAAGTTATTGGGCCAATTCCTCTCTTCCTCAGAACTATTCAGGTGAACTTTTGGAGATGAGGAAAACTCCCTGTCAGAGAACGAAGAAGGGGCCATAAACTTTATTTCCATGATTTTTCTTCAATTAACTTATCTTAGCATTTAAGCTACAGTATTAGATGCGTTACTTGGAATATATGTGACTATTTAACAGACTTCACAGATAAATCAGCAGAAAGGTGCAAATTTATACACCAATCTATTAAGAACTCTCATTTATCTATGAATGTGACACAATGGGAAAACAGAATATTTATCAGTATCTCATGGAATACTATAAAAAAAATACCAGTGAAGGATATGCATACTGTATTTGCTTAATTTTTCCATGCCCGTCTACAAGACATATGACAGAAAAGCAGATCATTATCTAAACAGAGTATATATGAAACAAGGATTGTTTTTTGTTTGTTTGAGTGACTGAAAAAGTGTTAATATCTGCCACCTGGTCTCAATCTCTCTCATTACATCAAACCAGAAATTAAAATGCTAAGACTACAGCCCACAGAAGCTGAGGTAACTGGAAGCAAGAAGTGCTTCTTGCTTGAAGGCATCAAAGTTATAAAGACATAACATGAAAAGTGCAGGAAAATTGAAGGGTAAATGCATGAATGTTAGAGAAGAAATTCTAAGAGGCACAGCAAAGTTTAAGTGAAGACACAAGGGAAGAACTCAAGAGATATAGATCTGAGAGAATAAGTGAAGCCAACCCTAAATATATCAAACTGATAAGTTGCCAGAGAACCATCACAGGATGAGACATTTTCTTCAAAATATTTATAAGACAAAAGCCAGTTTTAACAGTGTGACAGTTATTTGAAGTCCATAGATAGTGAGGCACATAGATTTTTAAAGAAGCAGTTTAAATTGGCATCGATGGAATCCAGTTTGCAAAGTCTAGAATTTTCAAAGAATCTAGGGTATGAATTAATTTTTCATATGCAAGTAATATTTTTTCAACATTTACACAGAGTGTAAACTGATTTACAGAGTAAATAATACTTGTCACTGTGGTCACTTCTGATTCCAGAATTCTTTTTGTAGTATTCTTAATTACATTAGGTGTAACTTCATTATATTCTCCGTATCTGATTTTGTGGTCACTCTTTTGGTTTGGCACTCAAACAAATTACCTATTTTACACTTGAAACGAATGCAGGACAAACAAAACCAGAATACACTTAGCTGCAGTAGACAGAGCTCCTTAAGCTAACAGTGCAATTATTACCATAAAATACAATAAAATGAAAATAAGGATATTAAACATATACTACTTAAATTGTGTGTTTGCCAATAGGCTCTTAAAGTACCTAAAGTGTGTCCCCTGAAGTGGACAAATATTACTTTTGCACTCAAGAATTACATGCTGTTTCACTATGAGAGGAAAATGAAGCGTCACATTGTTTCGAAGGCAGAACTGTGAAATATGAATAGTCCAAGAGCAAAACACATTGCAGAACTGAAGTAATGAAAAGTTATTTGGGACTTAATGAATAATTCTGTTCTTGCTACTCCTTGTCTTGCAATAGCACTTTATAAACAAATGTTTCCTCGTATGTGGGAAATATTGTTTTGAATAATGAGCAAAGATCTTTTCTCTACTGAAAAGCAGACTTTTTCAAGTTCACAGGCAAATCTGAACTTTAGTTTTAAGAGTTTTGTTTGCATTAAGATGAGATTTCGTGTTAAGAAGAAACTTCATATAGTTTAAACTTTATTATCAAAATGAAATACACAGTTGATAGATGGTAAAAAAAAAACAGCACCTATTAGTTGGTTATTCTCTAATTGCACTAAGGTGTCTTAAACTTGACATGAATCTTGAAATGATTGCCAAAGATAGAATAATCAACAGATACAAGAAATGCCGAATGACCAGACCTTATTCACCCTGTCTGCACCTCACTTCACCAGATAGCAATGCAATGTCAAGGAAGTTGTCAAGGAAGAGTGAAGTTTCCCAACCTGACACCGAGTATTTTGGCCTATAACACCTGTCTTAGCTGTAGCATTTGAATCTGACCACTAGACTAAACTGACTATTAGATGAAAGGGCATAAATACATTCTACATGCTACTAAACAAGCAAATACAGAGTAGTAAAAAATGCCAATGTCTTGCTCAGAAGCTAATGTAGCCCTGAGAAAATATTGCTTTCAACTTCAGTGACTTTTAACAGTCGATTGTTTTTTTCTTCTATTTCAATGCAAAATACAAAAGGACCCACAGCAATTGTCACATATAAAAATAAAGGTCATTTGTGAATACAATTATGTAACTAGGGCAAGAAACTGAGAAAAATGCTTAAAGGAATTTGTGGTCATGGCATTTTCTTCAAAAATATAAAGGAAAAAAATCTAGGAATGCAAGGCATTTAAAAATAATGCTGAAATGATGAAAAAGAACTATGTAGTATACTAAGCAGATAACCTTTGAACACAAGAGCAATACATTTTTACCACAAGAGAATACAGATTGAGCATCCCTCAAATTTCTGGGACCATAGGTGTTTGGGATTTTGGAATATCTGTATTTAGGCTTGAATCCATAATAAGATACCTTGAAGATGGGATCCCAGTCTAAAAATTCATTTTGATTTCATATATACTTTATACAGTTAGACTGAAGGTAATTTTATGCAGTATTTTAATAACATGGATATGGTGCCTCATGTTATTTAACAATAAGTTAAGGAGTAGTTACATTTGTAGTCTTACAATTACGAACAGCCCTTTAAAGTCAACCATCTTGCTGATGTGTCCCTCTATGAAAATGAGGTTGATACCCCTGATCTAACCATAACATAATACAAGCATAGTATTATTTGCCTGTCACAGTTCTAAGCGCCTACCAGCAATAGTCATGTGATCTGCTCAATCAGTGTTTTACAAGTCCCTTAACATAAAGTATAGCAAGCTGGAACTCTTCAAGATGCATGGCAATACAATTCCCATTTGATACAGATATGATGGGCAATAGTAAGTGATAATGGGAGATGGAATCCCAAACACTTGATTAATCAGAAACAAGTTTTGAAAACAAGTTTACCTACAACAAGCTCGTAAGGACTCCAGTGACCCAGCTCAGTGTTGACTAGATGACATTTATTAGTGTACACATAAATACTGGTAAGATGCTAATCAAGGATGCATTTGACCAAAAATTTAAATTGAGCTTTGGGGTTTGTTTCAAATCCAAGTAACATATGAACACTTGCATTCATTAGGTTTAGTAACAGTGCTAATACAATCATGATTGGGGCATTTACAATAATCATTCAACAAATCAAACATGTTTTAAAATCAGAATCTTTTTAATTTCATCAAAGATCAGTAGCATTACAATAAGACAGACTTCTCCTTCTACTCTGCTTACACTGAACTTCATGGCAAAGAGCAGTTCAAACTTACAGTATATTCTGGCATATAAGACTACTTTTTAACCCAAGAAAATCTTCTCAAAAGTCAGGGGTCGTCTTTTACGCGGGTGTAGTCTTATGCATGGGAGTCGTCTTAACTCTATATTTTAACTGGAAAAGTTGGGGGTCGTCTTATACGCCCAGTCGTCTTATATGCCGGAATATACGGTATCTTAATATGTTTGTCTAAATTAGAAAATGGCAGGAAAAACCTGCAGAAGCTTCTAAAAGGCCCGCATCACCCTCTCTACTCACAGAACAGTAGAACAAGACTGCTTAAATTTGCCACTCAAATCAGTGGGAAAATTAAGAGAATTGAGAATAATTAGAACTCCTAATTAAAAACATGACTTATCCCAAGAGCTAGGATTTAAAACTAGGACACAAGTAACAACCTAGTTTGGTCATCTGTGATGTAATAATCAAGATAACATAATGTTTTTAATGGCATCATTTGCAACAGTAGTTACTACAAGTCACTTCAACAGTACAATTACAGTTAAGCCAACTTAGCTCCACAGAATATTATTTTGGATGGCAGTGTAATAGTCTTAAAACCTTTACACTTGGGGAAAGTTATTTATATAATTTGATTACCTTGTCCCCAATGAACTTCAATATTCCATGAACTACAGTAACATCTCCTATGCATTATGCCTCCCTTCTTAACACGGACTACTGCAATTCCTTTGTACTGTATTCCAGTAAATCTAAGACATGCCTTTTCTCATTTAAGGGGCTTCAATAAAGTGTGCACCTTAGAATCCACGTTTTTCCAAACGGACTTACTTCCAAGAGAGAAGAAGGAAGGGCCCCAGCCCCAAATGACTCTGCCAGCTTCCACCATTTTGTCCTCAGCCTGATGACTGTTTACCAGTATTTTTGCTAAGCAGTACTTCCTGCATCCGCTGCCTCCTCAATGGACCCACAGACGTAATACTTTATAGACTCATGCAGACAGGTGACTCGCAGGTTACTTCACACTCCCTCCTTCAACCCACAGGAAAAAATTGCACTACAAAGCCCCATTGAAACAAAAAAAAGTTATTGTGCATGCAGAGGATATTCTAAATGCTATACTATATTTTTCCAAAATTAAAGCTTTTAAAATGGACTGTGCCTTTGATTGCATGGTGCCTTACAAATTGGTGAAATGCAGTATTTTTTGTTTGCAGTTCAGTAAAAATCTAAATCAAAGTATAAAATATATATTAAAAAAACGTATCTGTGTTTTATGCTATACCTATTTAATTCTGTAAATCCCAAAACAGAAAAAAGTTACTCAAAATAAATATGGAAGAAAAATAATGAGGTTTTTTTTTTTACTGAAACAACCTACATGTAATTGTTTATGGGTTGCCTACTTTGGTTTCAGTTCACCTAAGAAATGAGTTAAAATGATGGATAAGTGAAAAAAACAGATTCATTTTCAAGCTGGGACTCTCTCATTAAAATGCAGCTCCTTTTGCATTTAGCCAGAAAACAAAACAAAGAGCATTCAGCTCTCAATTGTTCGCATACACGAAAATAATGCTGGATTTTTAAAAAATGAAAATAAAAATCAGGCATGGAAAAATGGACAATAGCAACAAATGTTTACAAGTTGCTTAAGTTTTGTTGATCAAATTCAACTTTTCTTTCAGAGGATTTTAAATGTAAATTAAATTGGAATATGAATTTTTCAAGTCTGATGAGGAAAACGTATAGAGACAGACTTGATTTTACATCTGTAACAAACATACCTGTCCCAGTCAAAAGTCCAGCACTCTTCTTTCGTGCATAAGCGCGTAAGTGGTTGGACAGGCTAACAGCACTTGTAAACGCCGCATTGCAATGCACACACGTTCTAAGCTTCACAGGCATACCTATCATTCAAAAGAAAACTATAATCCAGTTCTATCTTTCAAAGCAAACTCTCAAGCGTTTTGAAAAATTCTGTATTAAAAGTAGATTCTAAGAATATTCACTGCATCACAGCAACTGAATGTTCCAAATTCATGGCTATTATTTTCCTATGTGACATTTAGCACTAAACACATTTTTGGTAAGAAAACTGGAAGGTGTTGATTTAAATCCCTAACCGTCTTTGGATTTAACACTTATTATCTCTTTCCTGAAAATCTTCACAGTACACAGATTATTTCCTAATCCTAAAAAACATAATTCTATAATTTGAATAGCATATTTCCATTGAGAAGTTTCAAACTTATCATGTTCCCAATAAAGAAAATTAGGAATCCTAGTTGACAAAATGGTAATTAAAGTGTTTTTACCCACAAGACTGTAAAATGCTCAATACTAAATTAGGTTACTGATGAAGGCTGGGAAAAAAGGTGGTAAAACACACTATTGCACAACTGTTAGACAAAACATTTTATTCAGTGCCTTTTATCTTCATTACTCTGAATGCGTAATCAATACTGAAAGTTAATGAATTGTAATTTTTGCTACATCTTTGTGCTAAATAGATGATCAACAAACATCTCAGTTATCACAAAAAAGAGCACACAGTGGAACAATACCAAACTATATTATACAAAGAAACCACTACAATAATGTCTTCTGTACTTTGGTTCCATTCACACACATAAGTTTTCACCATCTTCATATATAGTCTTGGAAAGCAGTGAACAACTTCTTCATGATTCCTATAATATACTGGAAGGGGGAATGGTTAGTGGGGGGCACAACATTTTGTTGTCAAAACTAAAATCATGTCAGCAGTTCAAAAGAGTTGTTTTAGGGGATTTTGCAAGGATCTGCGGAAATGTAGATAATGGTGAACCCTATTAAAGTGAATGATCTCTGACCCAAGAATTCCAAAGAGTTGCACTAGAAAACACCAAGAGAAGACCATGTTTTGTCAGACATGGATAAATGAAACCGTGGATACTGGTTTTGCAAATATGGGGGTTATACTACTGAGAATATCCAGATGCTAAAGCTAAAGGTACATCTCATATATTTCAATAATGCTTGAGACAGGCCTAAGTAGTTATAATAACTGAAGCAGCAATGTGAGTTGATTGTCAAATCCTATGCTAATCATAATTAGCATAGAATTTATTTATAACTCTTATTGTTTATTTATAACCATTGTTATGCAAGCAGTGTTTTTATAGTTGTGAAACATAGAGGATTTGCCAGCTAACATTAATCATTACTAGTGCAAAACAGCAAAACACCTCACATTTAGCAAGCCATTGAGCTTACCATTGTCTCCCAAGATTATGAGACTTGTCTAAGAGATAAGCTTTTTAAAAGAGATGTCTCTCATTTTAAAGGAACTTACTAAATATCCAAATACTGCATATCTACTTTTAAAAATGCTATGTTAACTGATCTTTTAAGTCCTTCATAGTAAGCTCAGAAAGGATTTGGTGAAGACAAGGTATTTCACCAAGCAAAAATAAAAGTTGCAACAGTCAGCAATACCATTCACTATCTGGTGTCATATTAAATAACTTTAGATTGTAATCAGAGAACCAAATTTTTGAAGCTAAACTAAAAATTGATCCTACACCTTCAATTTGAAGTGGTATAACACAGCAAAAGGTCAATTCCACAATTTTTTTGATCATGTAAAACTCTCAGTAATTAAGCCCTGAGCTACAGAATTGTGATACCAACCTGGCAGTAAAAAAAAACCCATCAAAATACTACAGAATATAAATCAAGATCATGCACTTTCATCAGACTATAGTATATAAAACATTTATTCAAATTATACTGAGGAACTATTATTACAACAAAATTTGTACAGGGATATTGTCAAGGGTTTCCACTGCCCCAATCCATGACAGCCAAGACTAAATAAAGAATACAGTATAACTCCCATACCCGAAGGAGATACATGAAACCACACGTTGAACCCTACTGAAACAGAACTTCTGGCTCAAGAATACTAGAGTTCCTCTGAGACCTTGAAAATGCCTAGAGAGGGCATATTATATAGACAAAGGAAACCGTAGGTGGCAGTTCCATGGATAGAGGGGCGAAACTGTATTCTCAACCTATGCTGTAAACTATGATGCAAGTAGTCCAAAAATAAAATTAGTGATAATTTTATCTACAATTACTAATAAAATATTTTTATGTATTCTGGCTGCCAGTTACCTTGATATAATAGATATAACCTAGAATAGATTAGGCCACACAATGAGGTATCCATTCATTTAGATAAGAGTTTATAGTCTTACTCTAAATAAAACAGCAATCTTAATCATATGAACAGATTTAATACACATTCATAGTCATTGGAAAGATAAAAAGGTTAGGTGACTGCCCCCATATTTACTAGATGTATGGTTACGCGTATCTTGGTTAGATGCATCATTAACCATTACAGAGCAAAAGCTACTTTCTATTCAAAGATCAACCTGCATATATGAAACTAAGAAAATGTTCACATGAAGCATTAATTTTATATTATTTATGTGGTTAGACTTTTGTAAAGGAAAACTGTCAGTTCCAATAAGAGTCTCAAACACTCTATCTATCTATCTATCTATCTATCTATCTATCTATCTATCTATCTATCTATATATTCTCAGTAATGATTTCTAGTTATTGTAATGAAATAGTAGAACCGACTATAAACAAATTTCTTACCTGATTGCAAAGTCAAATCCATTTTTTGTGGCTGATACATCAAAGGACTGTCTTCATCTAATGGAAGAACACATTTTTGAACAAACCTCTTTCTTGCAGTTTGATTATGGATCTTTTGCGGAGAGATATCAGGATTTCTTTCTTCTCCTACCCTTTTATTTTTCAAAAGTTCTATCAGTGTAAGTGACTGATTTTTTTTTTCATCACGGAGTACTGATTTTGCTTCATCACATTCATTGAAGAAACTCAGCCCTTCTTCCTCTGATGCAGACACCGATATATCTTCAGTCTTTAGGCCATTGCGGTATGCTTCAAGAGGTATAACATTTTGAGATAAAAAGTCATCATTTGATGAAAGTTTCTGAGCAACAAATGGTCTGGGAATAACACGTCGACTGTTCAATGCCTTCAGGATTTTTTCATATTTTTCTTCATTTTGCATCATCTCATTTAAAACACAGATCGGAGATTTGTGTGCATCCCATTTGGTTTTACCAAGCCTTTTTAGGTGTCCTCGCACATGATTAGATAATCCAATTTTAGTGTCAAACCAACCACCGCAGAGCTGGCATGTGTGTTCTGAAGAGTTTTCTGACTTCTCAATAGCTACAAAGATAAATGATTGATTGATCAATTTGTCATATACTAGAGAGCCAGGCTGCTCAAAACAGATATATTAATGTTTCAACCAAGACTCAAAATAAAAGCTATTGCGACAGACAGGGTAAAGTTAAGCCATGTTCATTGTTATCTATGCCCCCTTCACCCTGCATATTAAACTCCTCCCTCCAAAAAACTTACCTTTTCTAACTCGTTTAACTGGGGTCCCCGTCACAGTTCTTTTGAAATGCTGCATTTTATCACTTGTTGCAATCTGCTCAGGTGAGACAACATGACGGGCTTCGTAGCTTAACCCAGCTCTGTGAAGGTGTCCACGCACATGATTAGACAATCCAACACCAGTTTCAAAGGTTGCTGGACAATATGGACAGTTTTTTTTCTCAAGAGATAAGTCACTCCAATGAAAAACTGAGTTATGCTTAGGCAACGTTGTGCCTATATTTTCCAAATTATGAGGGTCTTGAAAATCATGCAGGTAATTGCTACCTTCTCCATCTTCATAATACTCAAAATAAAATCCATCATTTTGCTCATATCTAAGAGAGGATTTACCACCAATTTCTTCTTCCATGTTATCTTTAAATAAAGGAAACAGGTTTACATGATCCTGATTAATATCAGTGTAAGAGCCATCCTCCACAGACGGTGTAGTGTAATCACACAGTTCAACATTATCCCATGAACTTTCATCCTCCGTTTCATAGCTGTCTTTTTCCCCAGCAAGTTTCTGCAAAACAACAACAGTCATTTTATGTAGAAAGTCTGGATAACCGTCCAAATCATCTCCAGTTACAGAGCCTTCCCTTTTGGATCTTTTAACCAATCTTTTTACAGTTACATGCTTATCTTTATAGACTCTTGGTCTTTTTGCACCATAGTTAAGAGAATCCATATTAAATCTACTATGAGCATTATTTGAAGACAATAAAGGTAAAGACTTTGCAGCTTCCTTCTTTAAGTGTAAAGGATAAGGGCTGCTAGGTTTTTTAACCCTACGTTTTTCAAGTTTGTATCTATATAAATAATTACTGCTTGCTTTGGCACTAGCCTTTTGCTTTCCTGCATGATGTAAATACTTAGGTTTTTGGCCAGTGCTATTTCTATTCAAAATAGGTGTGTCTGCAGAGTTTTGACCATACACACTTACAGCTGACTGTGCAACACTTTTCCGAGCCTTCTGTATCCTGGGGGGTCTCCTGTGAAGTTTTGCAAAGTTACTTGACTGGAATGCAGAGCCAAATGGTCGTTTCATATCTTGTTTTAAAAGAGAGGTCTTTGGAAAAGCAGATGCTTGTTTGATCAAATGTTTAGTCCTGCTACCAAAATGTAAAGATTCATCTATGAAGTGACTTTTTCTTTTTTCTAATCTAAGACGGCTACCAAAAGAATCTATGCATGATGCTGGATGCAAATATTCCATGTGTTTTTTTAAAATGCTTCTGGCTGATGTAACAAAGGGACATAATTTGCACATATAGTCAGCTGACTTTTTGGCTGATTCCATATAGGAATCTTTCAATAACGTCTTTTTCTGTGCTTTTCTCTGGGATATATCTGTAGTAATCAATGAACACTTCACTACTGCCCCATGAGCAATGCCTCGATGACATTCAAGTTCACTTTCTGTTACTGCCATAAAGTTACATTCTTCACAGCAATAGTACCTTTTATCTTTCTCATGGGTTTTAGCATGCTGCACAAAGGTTTTGGGACAATTAGTACCAAATACACATTGTGGACACTGTAACCGTGCACTCCTACCCTCATCCTGAAGTTCTTTCAACTCACGAATTTCCTCCATCAGTTTCTGTCTTCTTTCCTGATGAATTATCATATGTTTAAGAAGGGAATTGCGGTCTCGAAAGGTCCGGCCACATTCCCTACATGCATAAGGCCTCGGAACATTTAAATGACGAAAGTGACTATTGCCATCCAAGTGATACATCATGTGCCTGTGCAGGTGCTTCTTTTCCCTAAAATTCACATTGCACTTTGTACAGGGATAAAATGATGGCTCATCAGTACTGAAATTAGAAGGAGTTTCTAAATCATCTTGTTCATGTTTATTTAATAAAGTAAAAGTGCTACTGTGATCAGGAGAAGTATCATCTGCACATGTATTACTTGGATTATAAATCAACTGTTGGATGGCATCCACAACTTCCAATTCCTCATCTGTTGATTCAGGCTTTACTCTAACTAATGAATAGTTCTGTGATTCTATGACTTGTAAGTTCTCATTCTGCTCCGAAAACTCAATATCAAATGAATCTGAATTGTCAGGAATATAATTTGATTCATTAAAACAGTCCTCAGTATAACGTGTTATTTTGCTAACATCCATCTTTCTTTTTCTCCTTTTCTGTACACCAACTTTAGGTTCAACAGGTGACTTATCTACAGTTTCTTCATTTGTCATAAAAAATTCTATGAAATCTTTTTGTGGATCCCACTTTGAATCATTGTCTGTTCTGAAATCACCTGTACCTGAGGAAGTGCCTGTTAATGATTTACCACCATCTTTTTCTAGAGAACTTTTGCTATCCTCACATACATCTACTTGAGTTACTAAAGTGCTGTCTGATTTGATGCTCTTTCCTATAGACGGCTGCATGTCACAAGAAATAGATGCAGAGGGAGGTAGATTTTTCACGGAATGTGTCTGGTTCTTAGCATGTGCTGCTTCAGGTAACAAAAACAAAGCCTGCTGTTGATTTGAATTTTGGGTTGAAGTCTTTGTGGAAAGCTGGAGATCATGTACCACCGTTGCAGATGAACAAGAATCTGCTTGATGGTCCACAGTCTGTGCAGTAGTTAATGAAATGTTGCCCTTTTTCATAATGGAAGTCTTGGCTAAAGTGGAGTGTGAAACTGGTCCATTAATAGTTCCCGCAGACAGAAGAAAACTTTCACTAGAAACAACAGGAGCACCAGTGTTTATAAATAAAGATGTCTGGCTTCCACTTAAGGCCTTTTCAGACTTGTCCATTGATAGCTCTTCAGGCAGAGTAACAGGGTCTTTCTGAAATGATGTTTCATTTTCTGGTAATTTCGGAATGCTACTCTTCTTTTCAGAGACGAAGCTGCTGTCATCTAGCAGTCCTTTAGCACCAATTGTCTCCGTATTGATCTCTGCCTCATCCATATTGCTGGTCTGCTCTGCCCAATAAGAACATTTATGCTGAAAGGAAACAAAAGAAATATATGAGAGTTTCCATCTAGGTTCCCAATAAAGGTAGTTTACACACACACACACACACACACACACACAGAGGTTTAAACTTGGATTAAATAAATACCATTTACTGTAATATCATTTACTGTAAGACATATATTACTGTCCTGTAACATATCATATATAGCTCTAAGTAGCCTGAAAGCAGTAGTTCCCAACCTATCTTGAACTATGAATTTTAAATTTCCATTTTATAAGCCCATGCAGTCCCTGGGTTTGTAACTAGAAGTCATATATGTCAGATGTTTGTAACTTGAAGACTGCCTGTATTGGTATTTTAATCTTTATTCTGTGTTTTTAGTATATGTATTTTAATGGTCTTCTACTGTAGTTATGTATTTTAACTGTTGTACCCTGCCTCGGGCTGTGAGAATAGGTGGATAACAAATGAATTTTTATATTATTACTAGTCATCCCCTGCCACGCGTTGCTGTGGCCCACATGGGAGTTCTGTGTGGGAGGTTTGGTGGGGTTGGTCGTTGGTGGGGTTCAGAATGCTCTGTGATTGTTGGTGAACTATAAATCCCAGCAACTACAACTCCCGAATGTCAAGATTCTATTTTCCCCAAACTCTACCAGTGTTCACATTTGGGCATACTTAGTATTAGTGCCAATCCATTATTGTTTGAGTCCACAGTGCTCTCTGGATGTAGGTGAACTACAACTCCAAAACCAAATACATTGCCCACCAAACCCTTCCAGTATTTTCTGTTGGTCATGGGAGAACTGTGTGCCAAGTTTGGTTCAATTCCATTGTTGGCGGGGTTCAGAATGTTCTTTGATTGTAGGTGAACTATAAATCCCAGCAACTACAATTCCCAAATGTCAAGATTCTATTTTTCCCAAACTCCACCAGTGTTCACATTTGGGCATATTGAGTATTCGTGTAGAGTTTGGTCCAGACCCATCATTGTTTGAGTCTGTAGTGCTTTCTGAATTTAGGTGAACTACAACTCCCAAACTCAAGGTCAGTGCCCACCAAACCCTTCTAGTGTTTTCTGTTGGTCGTGGAAGTTCTGTGTGCCAAGTTTTCTTCAGTTCCATGAGTGGAGGTGTTCAGAATGCTCTTTGATTGTAGCTGAACTATAAATCCCAGCAACTACAACTCCCAAATTACCAAATCATTTTTTTGAGTGAAGGACATACATTGGCCTGATAGGTGTATTGTGTCCAAATTTGGTGTCAATTCGTCCAGTGGTTTTTGAATTACGTCAATCCCACAAACGAACATTACATTTTTATTTATATAGATTCATCATCATCATCATTGAAGCTAAGCATGCTCAGACCTGGTTAGTACTTGGGTTGATGTTTAATGATTTATGTTACAATTGTTTTTAATTGCCCTATACTTGTCTCGTGATGTTTTGTATCGATGTTGTTCACCACTTTGAGTCGCCTGAGGGCTGAGAATAGCAGTATATAAATAAAGTAAATAAATAAATAATAAAGTAAATTGGGTTGTCAACAAATACCAGGTGTTATTAGGCTGTATTTCATAGAAAGGAAATTTCAAACCACTTCTGATTCTTCCCTGACTAAAAAAATCATATGAAATTCACAGAGTTGCCATAAGTTGAAAGACAACGGGGAAGCACATACACAAATACAAAATATAATATACACAGTTTTAGGAAAATTAATACTGTATATATTCATGTATAGGTCTAGACATTTTGGTCAAAATACTTACTCACAAAATGTGGGTTGACTTATCCATGTTAAAGTAAGTACTATCCCTTAACTCTTATAAAAAAAAGAAAAATGTTGTTGCTTGAGTGGTGAAAGCATGAGCTTAGGGGAGTCTGAAAGAAACACTGAGCCCCACTTCTCTCTCAATGCTCCTATGAGGAAAAGCACCAAAAAGCTACCACTACTGCTCTTTTCCTATCCAGGTATTCAAAAAGCCAAAAGTGGCACAAGAGTAGAGAGGCTGGTGTTTGTTTTATGTTCTACTAACAGGCTCAGTTTTTGCCTTTCGACACTTTATTCACATAAAGTGGTGGTTCCTTTTTTTTGGATAAGAGTTAATACTATACCTAACATTTTATTTGAAAAGGAATCATTCCCTTTTCTGGGTGGCAAAAGGACCTTTTGAATGCCTGGGTGGGAAAATAACAACAGAAATGGCTAGAAGAGGCTGGCCCTCTGAGGTGGTGCTGCCACTTTCCCTTCTCCACAGAGCGACCCTCAACTTGTCCTCTGATCATATCAAAATCCATATTTCTAATCCTAATTTTACTACCAAAAACTGGGGAAACATTGACTTGAGTATAAGCCGAATGTGGGAAATGCAGCTACTGGTAATTTTCAAAACAAAAATAGATACCAAAAAAATTACATTAATTGAGGCATCAGTAGGTTAAATGTTTTTTAATATTTACATAAAACTGCAATTTAAGATAAGAATGTCTATCTATTATTCTAACCTTCTTCAATGTAAATGTGCTTATCTATCCTTCCAAAAACAATAGAATAAAATAAATCATCATCATCATCATCATAAATAGAGTAAAATAATAATTGTAATAACAACAACAACAGCAACAGAGTAAAATAATAAATGATTTTGACTCAAGCATAAGCCAGGGGGAGCTTTTTCAGACTAAAAAAGGACTGAAAAACTAGACTTTTACATGAGTATATAGAGTAATCAACATTTGCAAACTACTCAAAATCAAGGTAATAAATACTTAGGGGTACAATCCCTTGCAGTACTTTAAAGTGTATACAATTTTCTTTCTTATCTCCAACAATTATACAAACATCCCATTTTATTATTTTCACTTTAAATATTTATTACATTTTATCTCAATAAAGAATGTCCCCAAAATTCAATAGTTATGATAATAATGCAGCACTCAGTATGAATTAGAACATCAAATGCATAGAGGCTTAAAAATTGGTATGACAGGCTAATAAATAGCAACATCAAATCCTTAGTGAAATTAAAAGTAAGGTCCAAGTATCTCACATACCATCCTTGAAAACCTAAGACTAGAAATTAAGTTACAGATTTTGGGATAATCTTGTGCAGACAAAAGATTTGTATTTTCTCCAGCTTATTATACACAGAAGTAGACAAATGTATGCTCAGTCAATTTGAGCGTCTATATTAGCTTTTCTCAACAGGAAGCAACGTTGCTAACGAAGTGGTAAATTCAGTGTTAATGAGTGGCTTCACTGTTACCACCTCTGAGGTAAAACCTTTCGTGTTCCATGTTCCACCCATCTGTTCTGGTGTTAGGGGTTCAGAAAAAGAACAGACGCTTCCCATTTAAAGCAACTTTGTTGGTTACCCCCTGAACAGCAGGGTGGTAAACTAAGAATATTATATTTGCTTGGAGAATGCAATTATCATTATCAGAATGACTGTAAGAAAAGCTTCAGCAATTCTGTAAAAAGATAACAATCTGGGTTACTTCTCTATGTATGAATATTTAAAATGAATTACTATTACTACTGATTGTTGATTATGTTGATTATGTTTTTTATGATGTTTTTACTTGTATTTTATTGTTTTACTGCTCCATGTTTTAATTGTGTTTGACTGGGCTTGGTCCCTATGTAAGCCACCCCGAGTCCCTTCGGGGAGATGGGTGGTGGGATACAAAAATAAAGTTGTTTTTGTTGTTGTTGTTGGTGTTGTTGTTGTTGTTATAGACAATACTATTTTTAGAGAATTATGCAATGTAATGCTTTTGTCTATATTACAGACAATTTTGTTCAGATACAATCAGGCCGAGTTAACTGACCTGAAATTTCAATTTAAATGAAGCATTTGTTTGTAATGTTTTTGAATATCAAAAGCTAATCAGAGGTTAAAATAAACAAATACACCGCCATCTAATTTAATAACAAGTCTATGAATCACTCATGAGAGCAGTTCCAATTTGACAGTCCACAAAGATAACAAGTGATAAACCATATTCTTTCTATTTAATCTTCATAGCTTCAAACTGAATTATACGGTTAGCCTGGAAAATACACAGCAACCCAGTGTAGATATGCCCTTAAATGTGTCATTATGGCAGATACTGACAATGGATCATCTAGCAATTCAATGAGTAGGATTACACTGGATTTGTTTCGGTTGGCAAATACAGCAAATGTAGACAAGTGGCTAAAGCATGTGAAGAAAACAATTTGTCCTCTTGATCACTGTTCTTCTTGGCTGGTCACCTAGAAGAAGCTACAGTTTGATATCAATTACAATGTATTATGAACGCACGTCTCAGGGGATGTTTTCCATCTTTTGTTTAAAATAAGTGGCGATATGCTTACTTTAAAAAAAAAAATCTTCCATGGACCCCTGATCTTCAACAATTAAGGACCATATAACATTTTCTGTTTGGGAGCAAGGTAATCAAGAGGATGTTTTTTTTTTTCCAGATAGTCTCTGATGATACCATTTATCTAGACCCATTTCAAATTAGGCACAAAGTCGAGATCACCATGGTCACCTTAATGGATGATCTCCGCATTTGGCAGGGGAAGCATGTCCCTGTTGGTACTCCTGAATTTCTCAGCAGCATTCAATATAATTGACTATGGTCTCCTCCTGGAAAGTCAGGGAAATTTGGAAATCAAGAGCACTGTGTTTCAATAGTTGCGGTTCTATTTCCCAAGCAGGTTGTTATATGGTATACCACAAGGTGTTATTCTATTCCCAATGCCGTTTAACATCAACATGAAACATCTGAGAGAGATCACATGGAAAAATGGAGTAGATGTCAGGGTCCGGGCAGGGCAGGTTCGTGCAAGGGGATGCGGTCAGCCAAACAGCCTGAACATGAACTGTTGTCTAGGGCTTCTTCTGTAAGCTCAAAACATGGCTTCCTGATTAGTTACCAGTAAATCTCAGAGAGATTACATTACACCAATACTAAAATGTGTCATCTAGCTATTAATTAGTTTCTAGGCAAGATATTTAAGAGCCACTTAAA